GAAAATAAATTTGAAGCCTACGTCATTGCTGACATCACGGAGCAGCTGAACTGACTCCAGCAAATGCTTACCTCGGTACTGACTGAGAAAAAGGTACTGCTCTTTGTTTAACCGCTGAGAGGCGTCTGCCACAGCTGCCCAGATGACCGACGCCTGCTTATTTGGGAAAACCTGGGGAAAGGCAGGGGATAAACACAAAGGCTGCATGCCATGCGCCGCTATGCAAAGAAAGCAATTCCCCAACCAAATCCGTTCAAACCTGGGCTGAATGGCATTTTTAACAATACCAAAGACAGAACAATTTTCATTAACAAAAGTTAAAATAGAGGGCCCCTGCAACAGTAAGCATTCTGTAGAGATTTAAGACTCAAAGAGGTCAAGACATCCTCTAATCAGATGGGTTTAAATGGAGACATCGTCTCTGCGTGTCCTGCCAAGAACGTGTACTATTGCCAAATTCCTCATTCAAAACCATATATAAGAACTCTTTAACTGAAACACAGAAGTTAAAAATAAGACATTTAAATAGCAATCTCCTTTCCTTCTCAAATGTAAATGTGCCCACTAACCCTGATGCTCACAGAAAGATTTCTTCCCCTTACATTCTATTTGACCTTCCCCCCCCCCCAAGCCATTCATGATGAAATCGACAGGGGAAAAAAAAATAATTCAGGAAGTTGGCTCCCAGATCAGCTACTTCACTGAATTAAAGCGCAATTAGGTTTGTAACTTTTAAATGGGAATATAAACCACGTGTACTGAACACCTCTGCGTGAGATGCGCTGCAAACCCACAGGTGGGATGCGGGCAGGTGGGGACAAAGACGCTCGAGACACACACGTGCTCTGGTGCAGTTCGTTGTCTTGTTAGGGGAAGAAGAGCTCCATGAGAAAAGTTCAATGAAATGTCTCAATAATAGTTCTAGACAGTAGCAGAGATGTCAGCAAAGACTGCATGATTTATTGCCAAAAAGACTGTAGCTGACAGGGACTGCTGAAGGGTTGCAGAGAGAAAAAGGTCACCCCGAGCAGAGGACGGCCTGGGGGAGACTGGCGAGAGTGCAGGGTCCCGGGTCGATCTTGAAAGAGGCATCGAAACCTGCAGGTGGGCAAAAGCAGCGCTTGAGCAGCCTTCTGAAAGAAGGGCTGTTTTGTCTATTTTCAAGCGGAGAAATCCTCTGGGACGTTTGGTGCCTGGTGTCGGGAGGGAGGCAGGACTCAGGAAGGAGACTGACATTCAAAAGAAACCGGCAGCTCAACGGTGAAGAGCCCATCAACAGAGGAACAGATTAACAAAAGGTGGCACGGGGTGGAATATTAGCCCGTCTTCAAGAAGGAGGAAATTCGGACAATGTGGGTAGCCCTGGAAGGCATTGTGCGAGGTGAAATAGGCCAGTCACAAAGGGAAAGTTCTGTGTGGTTCCCCTCACACAAGTCATCAAATTCACAGAGACAGATGTTGAAGGGTGGTAGCGAGGGGCCGCCGAGGGGAGAGGGGGCGGGGGATCGTGTTTCATGAGCACGGAGGGTCCTAAGGTCACTAGAGCTCTGGACTTGGACGGTGGTGATGGATGCGCAACAACGGGATTGTGCTTGATGCCACTGAGCTGTGCACTTAAAAACAGTGACGATGGTAACTTTTATGTTTTGCATACTTTACCACATTATGAACATATATTTAAAAATGGAGAGAGAAGAGCAGCAGGAACACGAAGATGCAGACTGGGGTTGAAGAGGGAGCGCAGACCCGAGAGAAGGGAGCCGGCAGCTGGTCGCCAGGAAGAGGCAACACCTCAGTCCAGCCCAGGTCTGTGAGACCCACGGGCCCCACCTAGTAATTGACTGCTCCGCGGCAAGTAGCGGGGACATGGAACCCGTCCTCCAATTTCCTTTGGAAACACTGAACTTGTTTTAATTTCATGAAGACTTTTAAAATCTTTTTAAAATCTCTGACCCTGGAAATGAACAACAGTTGGGCTCCTGCAGACGCGCACTTCCGGCCCCTGCGCTTGCCCCGCTGGATTGGCTTGACTTGGATGTGGGCACTGAAAGCAGACAACGCAGTCCCAGCCAAAGCAAAGTGCAGGTCAGGCCCCTCTGCGTGGTCAGGCATGTGGAGACCGCTGGCAAAGTACGGAGGCTGGCAAAGCTGGGCTTTATTTTGGGTTCCTGGATCCAATTTCAATGTTGAGGGTGGGAGATGGCCTCACCTACCAGCACCAAGTGGCTCTCAGGACACCAGCTGCGTATGCTGCAGTCCATCGGCTCAATTCTGACACCGTCCACCCAGGAAGAGCTCAGTTCCCACAGGTAAAGGACTCAGTCCTACAAGGCTGCCCCCTCCCCCGCTCCAGAGTCCCAGCGAGCGTCCAGGTTGTCCCCGGGCTTCTGACTCGGTCGGAGTTCCCACGACCTTCTTCGAGCACTTTCAGACGCCAGCTGAAGATCCAGGTTTTTACCTCTACTGCCAGGGCAGCTCACAGAACCGAGAGACACATTTTATGTACTAGATGACCGATGTACTGTAAAACGGACATAACTCAGGAACAGCCAGGTGGACGACGTGCCCACAGCAAGGTGGACGAGCGCAGAGCGTAGTCTCCTCAAACCTCCACGTGTTCACCGGCCCACAGTTCTCTGGGCCTTGTCCTTTTGGGTTTCTATGGAGGCTCCGTTACGTAGACCTGATTGGTCGAATCATTGGTCGCTGGCTGTTGATTCCACCTCCAGCCGCTCTCTCCTCCCCAGAGCGGGGTGGCCTGGGACTGAAAGCTTCAAGCCTCGAATCACATGGTTGGATCTCCTGGCAACCAGCCCCCATCCTTAGGGGGGATCCCAAAGACACCTCATTGACCTACAGGAGACTCCTTTATCGCTCTCATCACTGAGGGTATTCTAAGGGTTTCAGCTCTGTGCCAGAAATGGGGACAGAGACCAAACATGTATTTCTTAATACAAATCAGAATATCATGGGCTCCACTATTCCATACTGTCCCACTAGCTAACTATGCACATCTGCTCTAACTCTAGAGCAGGAACCCTTGAAGAACCAACCGTCTGAGGCTCGGCCGGCACTCAGCAACCCCCTGGAGAGCTGTATCTTCGGGTGATGAACGGCTCTAGACCCCTCCAACCGTTCTCAAAATGAGCTACCTCGAGGTCTTTTCAGAACTCTTGGGCACCCTCGTCTAGTCTCAACGCGACACGCCTCTTCCTTGAAACATGATGCTGGATCCCCAAGTGCTGGACCCAGGTTTATCTTGCCTGCCTCGGCCGATGTGACCGCCACTGTCATCGCCATGGTCCCCTCAGAGCAGGCAGGTCTGCACAGCCCCGGCCCGTTGAGGTCCGGTCCTCCCAGTGCTTTAAGCCACTCTCCTGGCTGATGAACTCCTGAAGCTACTATTTCTAGTGACCCTACTTTAAAAAACATAAGCAAGTGAACTGTAACCATTAAAACTTCTTCCCAGTGTTACAGTAAGAATACGATCTCCCTGCTTTCTCGGTTCCTTCCGCAACAATTGATTCTTCAGCCTAAATATTTTTAATCCGCAGGTAGATGGCACATGAGAAGATCAAACATTATGCCTAACACACAGGAAATTTGGGTCATTGGTCACATGAGCCTAAATGTTTATTCAAGCTCTTCTCCATTTTTTCTCTGGATGCCTGTTCCCTTACTTTGTTTCATCTTTAACTTAGGAAGAGATGGTTAATAAACTAGATCCCTTCCATAGCTGGGTCTAGTTGGGCTGGATAAGTCTGTAATGGCAGACTTGGTGGGGGGAAGGGGAAAGCAAAGCATAAAATCTGTCAGGGAAATGGAATTCCTGTCATTCACTCACAAATTTTGCCTTTTCACCATAGTTCTCCTACCAGTAACAGTTCAGTGAAAGACGGCTTCCTTATTGTCATTTATTAGCCACGACAGGCAGCAACATGAACCACAGATACCATCTCCCTTCGCCACCGTCTGAGCGCTGCCTGCAGTGCAGAAGACCGCTGCAAAGCCTCCTCCTTCTGGTGCTTGTCCCAAAGGCAGCAGTTCAAAGCCCACCTCTGGCACCTGGGATGCTGGCAGCTGCAAGATGCTCTGGACAGGAAGATTCTGCTACTGCGACGATGACACCAGAAACTATGATGTAATTACTTACGCTGCAGTCACAGGGAATCAAGGCCAGCAGCCCAGTCTATAGGTGGAAGTTTTGTGTACTCGCAGTAAAAGCATCACCACCACAGACTGGAAGATGCACTCCCTTCTCAGCACAGATCCTTCCTGTTAACCTCCTTGCCCCCTGCCCCCAATATTTTTTTCACTAAAACTCAATGCAACAAAATGGAACAAAATAAAAGAGAGTTTCAAAATTAAATAAGTTGGATATACTGCTGGTTTATTAGCCCCTGGATGTATTCACAAACATAACATAAAATCACATGCTCCTGAGGGCTCACAACTCAGAATTTGCAGCCACATAAAAATCTAATGTATTTTCTGTCTTTAAGTACTTTTATTGATTTCTTTCTTCTACAAACATTTGGTTTATGCATTTTGGACCAAACCGAGGGCCAGGGGTTTGGAGGAGGTAAGAGAAAAAGCACAGAGAAGAGAGAGTCAGTAAGATAATGAAGCGAGAGAGCAGTGGGACAGCCAGACTGGAGACTGACGTGTTTACAGGAGGGGCCCTTCGGGTGGCCCTGATGACCTATCAGTCGGCTACACCTGAGACGGACGAGGTGCAGGTGCCAAGGAGGGAGGAGTAAGGGAACTTTCACTGTCTTCAGTGTGGCCCACAAAACAGCGCCACCTACCGGCCCCGGGAGAAGACCGCAGCGTCGGGGTCTCAAACAGTCCTTGAAGCGCTAAAACACATGTAATGCACTTCGCGGACAATGCAGAAATGACAGAAATGGAGAATTAAGCATATAATTACAAGATAAAAACGAACATACTTCAGCAAGATAGGTTTTAATAAGATTTTAATAATATTGGTAAGGAGCCAAATTACAACATGCCCCAGAATACGGAGTACAAAACCTCAGAGACAGACTAAAAACCCATAAAAATATAAGAGCACCTTAAAACAGTAATAATCTTTAGGATAAAGAAACCATTTTCTCAACAAAGGTACTGAGCACGTTTCATAAAAATTAAGGGAAATTAAGGACACGTGGACAGCCACACGTCGCCCAGGTCCCAGTGGCAGGAAGGTGCGAGAACCGCGTGCGCGCGGAGGAAGGCTCGGTGCCCGGCGCACAGAGGTCCCTGCACCAGAGCGCGGAGCCACGACCTCGAGGCGCCTCCACTTCCTCCCACCTCACTCACGGGACAGCAATCAATTTCCTCTGCGCCTGCAGTGGCCTTGGAAATGATCCGCGGCGCCACGCCCAGCCACACAAGCCCCACTGCCACAGCAGGGGGCGGCCTGGGGGGCGACAGGCACGCTGCCACCTGCGGGCAGCAGGACAGCAAGAGCGGAGGGAGCGCCCCAAGCTCAGGTACGCCCGCCCACTGTGAGGGCGGGACTGCCGTCCTCTAGGATTTGGGGGTGGGAGGGTAGGAGTTTCCCTCAACTCTCTCAGGCAGGTACTTTAATGCGACTGCCGTGCGGGTCCTATTTTTTTTCCCAAGGGCATTACATGCTACACTTCATTTGGGCCAGATGTTCCAATCAGCGTGCCTGCTCATCCCGCCAGGAGCACAACAATTATTTATTTGTCCTCCCAGCCGTGGAGCCGTGTGGAGCAGCTGCGACATGCAGTGGGTGGCGGCGTGGGGATTCTCCTCTGCGGAGCCCCAGAGGGGAAGGCCCCCACTCCAGCCCCGGCAACAGGCCGTCGACCGGCGCCTTGACCTTAAACCCTAAATCAAGAGCTTAATGAGATGCAGATTCCATGTGATAGGAGACAGAGTCGGGGGGGCTGAGGCTTTATATTCTTTAGATGTCTGCTTTTGCTGTGCTGGCTACTGAAAAGTGATGCGTAACTTCAAGATGAAAGGCATTAGCAGCTCCTTTAGAAGAGGATAATCCCAGTCTTCCGGCGGTTTAATGAGATGGAACTCACTGAAGCTTCTGACCAGGCCTGCTATTAATGGAATCAAAGTCAATGACAATCTTGCTGCACTTGGGTGTGAATTTCCTAAACGCAAGAAACAAAACATAAAATGATATTATCCAGTGAGTAGTTAAAGCGATTTGTTTACTTTGGCTTAACTGGTATTTTCTGTGGGGAGGACAAATTTTCTGGGGACTCACTTTATCCACTAAGAGCCAATTACAGTGCATGTACGGGGAGAAACAGGGCCCGCGAAAGCCTAAGACCAAAGCAGAAGCTGGGGGCGCCTGGCTTGTTGGCCCTCCAGCCAGCCAAGTGCATGAATGGTGGGAAGGTCAGCTGCACAATGTGTCATCCGATTACTAGTTTTCCCTCCAGACTTCTCGTATTTTCTAGGAAATTTCCAGAGCCAACATGAAATCACTCTAAAGCAAAACAGACTAAGTTTTCTTTTATCCCTTATACCTAGCAAAAGGCAACTAGGTTTAGTGAGGAGTCGTTTCTAAACTCTATGTTCTAAAAAAATGCAGAAGTAAAGTAAGCCCACTATTTATTTTATATCTCATTATTATTATATAAATGACTTGGATTTAAGAGTCTCGTAAGGCACTTCAGATCCATGGACTACAACCTACATCCCTCGTGATGAATGCAAGAGCCTCACCGCTGATCGCCAACGCTGCGAAGGAACTGCTTATAACTGTCTCAAAAGAAGTTTCCACCACAAATCAAAGGTGTTTGAACTTATTTGCAAGTCAAACATACCTTCCAGTCTTTGCCTAACAAAGATAATTATAAAAATCTAAATGACTTCAAGTCTCAATTTAAAATATTGCTGTCAAAAGAATTCTTGGTGTTGCAAACCTGGCAGGTTACTCTCCTCCTAAATTTTCTATGCCCGTGTCGTCACGCTGGCAAAATGGACAAAGGTTTAGTGTTAATATCATAAAACTTGGGAATTTTAAAAAATTTCTCGCTACTAGGATAATTAGTCTAAGCCTTGGAAAGCTACCAATATTAAAGCGCTGTCGTTAGATTGTCTTCAAAGGCTTCTGTCGCTGCTCTTAAAAATCTACCCCTAGAATAACCCTTGGATTCTTGGCCCCTTGCACTGAAAAAGATGCTGCTCAGTGGGACTGGAAGCCCCGTGGATGAAGGGAACCATCGACCAGATCACACCTGTGTCCGCGTCCGGCCTTCGCCCCACCGTCCCTCAGTCCTTCCCACCTACCTGAAGGTGACCCCAGCCATGTTAAACATGAGCCTCGCAGCAGTGGTCTCCTCACTATCGTGGTACTTATCAGACATGAATATAACTTCTTTGATACCTTAAAAGGGAACAGAGCAAGAGGCCCCGTTAGCACAGGTGCAGAGACACCGCCACAGACCCGGAGGAGGCCGCGGAGGCCTGGTGGTGTCTGCGACTAAGGTGCGTGTGCACGCAGTCTCCAGGGATGAAACTTTAGCTGCCACTCTCCAAGGCCACAGTGGATGGACGGATCACGTTTAACCTGCCCTCTAGTCCTTATGGATTTCTTTTTTAACTAATGCAAGGTGAAAACATGCCAAGTAGTCAAGCCTTGATCCGATGAACACATTTTCTTTACTGTGGGCAATCAAACATTCTTTCTTCCCCGGACAGCGCCTCTTAACTCAAGCGGCGAATGGCAGGCAGTGGCGTTTGCTGGCAAAATCACCGAGAAACGCCGGTGGTGAGCTCCCCAGAAGGGCTCTGCGGCCCTACGCATGCCAGGGCCACGGAGAGCAGGTCCGCCTGCGTTTCCTGTCTCCCCGAGCAGCGGGAGCTTCGCGGCCGGACTCTGGAGGGCTCCCCATACACCACCAGCCTCTGAAGGGGCAGCGGGGAAGCCGGCCACCCAGGGCACTCGCTGCTCTCCCGAGGCGCCGGCCATGGCCTGCGCGCTCAAGTCCCGAGCCCGTGCCACTCCGCCGCAAAGACTGTGGCTCTGACCCCAGCGGACGCCCTCGGCTCCGAGACGCCCGGCTCGTGATAAACAGCCCCTCGACAGCGCACATCTGGCTAACATGGCAAGTCTTTAAATCTCATGCCGAGAGTTTTATGGAGATAAAGTGTAGCTGGGTCTTAGACATGACAATTTGTAAAAGGTGAAATATTCAGAACACAAGGGTATAGACTTACGGTAAGAAAAACTTAGACTACCAATGGAGTCTTATGACATTTGTATGCAAGGATAGGTTTAGGCCCTCAAATATCTACCATACATTAGATACAAATTAAAATTTCATATACAGACTCCCAGCTGACCTTGTTCCTGACAGAAATTCATTTCCTTCCCTCCCCCCTAATCTATGCACAATATGTCTGAGAACAGTAAACTGACAGTAATTATATGCAAAGCCTGTGTTGTTTTTTGGCAGCTTGCAGTTTAAGAAGTTGCAAACTAAATTAAAAACATGCTAAGAATCACAGAGGATGCAATTAGTCGCAGAATACCTGGCACCATTCAAAAACAAAACACGGGAAGCATCTTGCAAAGTTGATAGTGCAATTAATTTAGATCTAAACAATAGCAATTTAAGATCAAACACATCTGCAAGGAGCTGCGAGGAACAGGCGGGATGCAAATGTGACAAATGGAACGGCCGGTTCCTACCTGCCTGGATGATGAGCTTAGCACATTCATTACACGGGAACAAGGCCACATAGATAGTACAGCCTTTGACGTCCGCCGAGTTTTTGTTCATGATGGCATTCAGCTCGGCGTGGCACACTGTGGGTGAGACGGGAGAAAAAAGAAACACTTAGACTGTGGCTCGGGAACGATTTACTAACAGTGTTGAAGCATTCCATTCTGCCCTCTGAAATAACACATAATCGGCTCGATTAAAAAGAAACTGATTAGAGACTGAAAGTACTGAGAATACCAAACGCGGGCCATGTGGTCTGACAGGTTGGCAATGAGGAGCACAAAGGTTCCTGGTGCAGCCCTGGGTGTGTAAGCATCTAGAGCAGCAGGGATGGGGACCAGGGGGCACGGAGGTGGGGCCCAAGGTCAAGTACCTTCACCCGCCCTAAGTGGGCAACAGCTCACGGCTCCAAAAGACCCTGGCCTATGGAATGGCCTGGGTAAAATGGCTCATTTGCGTGTTGTTCTGCACACACAGGGATACTCGCTGTGGCCGCGAAGAAGGCAGGGAGTGACTTTAAGAGCAAGAGAATCGAGATGTGCGGCTGAGCGCTTCTGCCGCGAGGGATCGGCCGCACCTCCTGGTTCTCAGCCGGCAGACAGGTGGGCACCCAGTAGTTTGTCTTTTGGAAGAAAAACATTCATCCGCTTAATGGCAATGAATGTTTTCAAGTTCTTGCCACACTGGCTCATTCCACCCAAGATCCCCAAACTGCGGTCCAAGGCCATTCCCAGACTTGCCTGAATTCAAGGGTGAAGCGCGCACCCTTCTCTCCTCTCCCACCCTGGCAGAACTCACCCATCTTCCCAAGCAGTCTGGCCGAGGGTGCCCACCACCTAATCCACAGAGTGTTCCTCTCCAGAGAAAGGCTGCGCTTGCCACTCCGATTTCGTTTGGAATCTCCTACCTGCCTCGTGAGGTTGCTCTATGCTATCGTGACTGCTATTCCATTTTCTGCGAGTGTCATCTAAAATTATGTGATAATTTCCTCGAGGCAGTGGTTCCCAAACTGTCCGCAGGCTGGAATCCTCAGACAGCATCCAAAACGCCAGTGTCCGTGTCCCACGCCTGGAGCCTGACGGGCCCTGGGGTATGGCCCGGGCTTTGAAACCTTTCCACGGTCCCCCACTGTGATTCTAATGTGCAGGTGTGTTTGGGAAACGCTGCCTCACAGAGCCGTCCAGCATCCCCAAGGTGGCTCAACACACGCTATGCACACAAGTGCTAAAATAAATGTTTGTTGAATGCATCAATGACTGTCTGGCCGTAGTCCAAATCATACAAACCCAGAATTATAAACCTGGGGTCTTCAAGGGTCTCCCTCCCCCTCTCCCACCCATCAACCACCCTTCTACACAGAGCACCTTCCTCCAGGAGTGCTGAGGCCTAACCCCGGGGCGCTCACATGTTTCGGCCAGGGAGCTTTTACTGCGCCTACTCTGGCTCAGACAGCACCGAGCGCCTGGCCCGCCTTCCCCGCCGCGCCTCACGTTCTCGGGCGGGCTGGCCACGCTGTGTCCGGCAGCTGCTCTGCGATGCCACAGGCAGAAAGCTGCCCCGGACCCTCCCAGGAAACAGTGGGAGCGCTCACTTTAGTCTGTGAAGACTGTGGTTTAGGGGGTTTTTGTCGTGCGTGCAAATGAGCAGTTCAAGGCACTGTAAGAAAATCTAAAGAAAAAGAAATAGCAGCGTTTAATCAGATCAGAGCCCCCCAGAGAACAATTCCATGCGTGCCAGCTCCCCGAGCCGCACTGGGCTGCAGACCCCGACGGGGCGGCAAGGACAAGCAAGAGGGGAGGGGGCATCTGCCCTCAGTGGCCGGGGGATGCTGGCCAGGCAGAGGTCTCCTTAAACCCATTTCCTTCCCTGGTGGCCACGATGCTCCCAAGCTGGGATTAACACTGCTCTGTGTTAAAAACAATGAGATGTAATTATTTCTTCTATTTCCCCCTGGAGGGCAGAGACCGGTCTTCCCAGTTCGTGTGACTCCCCCAGAGCCTCATGTGCTGCCAGGGATGTAATGGGTGTTAAATATTTATTGAATAAATAAAGGAGGAAATGCGGATTCCAGCGACTGATGGCAACGTTGGGAAAGGCAGCAAGTCCTCTTAAATTCAAATATCGAAAATATGCTTTCCCATCTGACAGAGATTTTTTGATGGTGTTGGTATTAATATTCACAACTACAGAGTGTCTGAATCTGTTAGAAAATCTAGTTCAGTGTCCTCTTTTGAATCTCTAAAAATTGTCACATTGAAGGCGACGATCATCCTCTAATTCATCCAAGGCATTTTGGGACAAAATTTAGCATTATATGTATGGATTCATTAAGAAAATCACCATATGAAACAGAGTCTCTTGGGCAACATCCAGCATCCCTGGATGAAGGGCGGTTTATAGAAATGATACACAGGATCGTAAACAGACTTCGTTTCTGTTAACCACAAAATCGCAAGATGGAAAATATAAAGCTTCTTGTTAGAAAACATGAGGTCTGCCAGGCAATGTGACTAGCTGAGAGGCCACCGCAACGCTTTCAGAGAAACAGTTTACAAGCCACAACTTCATATAATCAAACTAGACAGTGAAAAGAACAAACCCCAGGTGCTCCATGCACACTTGACTTCTTGGGATCATCCCTGTGCCTCTTTAACTTCAGACGTGACAAATGCCCATTCCCGCCCTCCCCAGAGCCCCGCACCCCGGCCCACCAAACCGTGTCTGATTAACCCCAGCTTCTGGGTGCCTCAGCCTGGCTCACGCGCCACGGAGCTCCCCACTGCTTCGTCTAGACCCTGAGGTCTGAAAGGCTGCCCCTTTGTGGCCTGGCACTGGCCTTTCAGGTCCACGATCCCACAGCCTCTGTGGCTTTGACCCTCGGCTTCCCCTCCCAAACCGTCCTGTGTCCTCCTTCGGGGCCGGTCCATCAGGAGACATTACGCAGGCAGACCGCAGGTCCCAGGGCCCCCGGCCGCCCTTGCAGAGGACACTGGACGAAACGGGTGACAGCAGTCCACCCGAGGTGTTAATGTGGGTCAGTCTGAGTGGAGTCTGGGAACGCATCTGCCTGGACTGGCCATCTATACTGGTAAGTAACAAGGAACTGCCAAACCGGCCTCAGGCCACGAAGGGCGTGAAGCAGTGAGCGGGCCTGGCCTGTGGCGGGTTGGCTCCGATCCTGGGCGGCCTGACCGCAGGCTGAGCCTGCGACAGAAGGCCACCCCGGGGTTCAGGCCCAGCTCTGCTGCTTGAAGTGGCGTGACCTCAACAAGGGGCATTAGGTGCCCTTTAGGTTTGCAGGAATGACACGCTCTCTCAGAAAGCACATTTCCACTAACTGACTAAAAGCAACTTTAAAGAACACTAAGTAATCTGATTTTTAGCTTTTCCCTCAGGCACCCGGTTTCCTTCCTCTGTCTTCCAGAATAGCCGATCTTCAAGACAGGCTCCGACCGCAAAGCAGGGGTCTCCTGCCCCACGGCCAAGGGCAAGTCTCTTAACTTTGTAATGCATGTAAAACCTCTACCTGTCTCTAAAACAACACTTTTCAAACTGCAGATCATGCAATCAGTGTAGTGAGTTATAAACAGCACATTTTCCCCCTCTCTTTTTAATGAAAAGAGAAAGGCTGAGATCAGAATGCACCCACATGGCAAGGTGAGGTACTGCTTCTAAAAACTGCCTCTTGTGTGAGTGTGTGTGTGTGTGTGTGTGTGTGTGTGTGTGTGTGTTTCAGGAAAACTGTGTTTGCCAAGTTGTCATGTAAAAAATTTCAGAAGCACTACCCTATGGGAACCTACCTGTTGACTTCTGTAATATGCTAGTCATGTTCACAACCAACTTTTTTTTAATAGCCCTAATTTGTAGCAACTACCAATTTCCCTGGTGTAAATACTCCCACACAGCCAATCTCGAGCTCCCAACATGACAGGGACTTGGGAAGAGAGGCATACATCTGCCCTGGGGAGCTGGTCCCCGAACACCACCAGACAGCCTTACCTTGACCTAAACCTAAACCCAAAGTCTCTCTGGCTGCAATCTGATTTGCTCACCCCCGGCCCTTTTAGTTACGACTCTTCTCCTAAACCCTCCCGGCAGGGCCAGAGCCTTTGGCGTCCCTACTTTCTATGGGCCTTCTTTCTCTCGCTTCCTGGGCACATCCCGAGGTTCAGTCCTGCTCTAGAATTCATCCCTTCCTAGATTCTCAGACAGCAGAGCTGGTGGTAAACCGCCAAAATCTACATTTCTAACCCCAATGTCCCATCTTCTGCTCAGGCCTTTGTGTTGGGTGCCGAGCCTTTTCCGAAACTCTTCTGACCATGATACAGCAAGAAGTTAAAGAATCTTTTTTCTTTAGAAAAAGAAAAAGTATCTTTTTTCTACTGCTATCATTTTGATTGTGTTGCCTTGGAATGGAGGCAGCAAGAGTTACATATACAGGAGTACAAAAATCCACCACGCGCAACGGTTCTCCCTGTGGCCTTGAGGTGTGCATAGTTTTTACAGTCATAGTAGGAATAAGGGCCCAGTACTCCAAAAACAGAATGCAATTCAATAAGATAGCTAAATTGTACAAAAAAACCAGCTATTTACCTAGAACTACTCAGCACTGGCTAAGCAATAAGCCAAAGAATTCTCTGAATAGTCCAAGTATAATTTATACACCAGCAGTGACACAAAACTCTTTAATTATTCTCAATATTGTTTAAAAGGAAAATTATCAAACGCTGAACGTAGCAGATTAACACTCAGAAAGTTCCTCGCTGCCAGAAGGAGCACCTCAGTTTCAGGTAATTAGAAGACAATCACATGCTTTGGTGTTTTCCCCCCCTTTTCTATTACTAACTGTCAGAATGCAGAACTGCATTCACCTTGGACCATGGAGAAGAGATTGTATAATTAGAAAACTGTATTTTTCAAATGCCCTCTTACCAAGGCTTGATTAATCCTTACTGTCTCGTGTAGGCGGTTCTCTACAAGTTTGACAAATTAACAGGATATATTCCATCCCTGCTTAGATTTAGATTGAAGAGATTCAACATTTTATAAATTTGACTTTCATCTCATGTGATGTAAGACTAAT